CGAATTATTAATACCCAGTAGTAAAGTAAGTCCAAACGCAATCAGTACTATACTACTTTCCCTTCAAAAAGCGCTAAAGTTTTTAGAATAATAAAAAATAAGTTTGATTATAAATTTTCTGGACACAATTAAGCTCTGGTAGAATTTAAATAGTGAAAATGTGCTTGTAAAGAAGCACGTGTGGGTTGTAAAACATGGTTGTCACAACTTTGCAAACAGAAAATCAAATAGACCATAACTAAATCAGATTCCTTCGTAAAATCCCTCCAAAAAGGGCATACGTTATACGTTGACGACTTTTTGATATGCTGTCGTTCGAAAAATCCTCATCTAAGATCTATGGAAAGGCTCGTTTCCTCGGCGTTATGTTTGAAAAAAAACTCACATCATACCAAACATCAAAGGCCTTCGTGTGAGGTGCCAGAAAGCGTTAAACGCCTTGAAAGTTCTATCGCACCCGGAGTTGGGCGTGGACTCAAAACACCTTCTCTACTTATACATCTTCCTTGTCCGATCCAGGCTTGACTACGGCTGTCATGTCTACGGATCAGCAAAACCACACATCCTAAAAATGCTAGACCAGTGCCAAACCAAGGACTCCACCTCGCTCTGGGGGGGCTTTCCGCACTTCACCAGCCTCCAGGCCGAGGCAAACATACCATCACTCACACTTAGACGCACACAACTCTCACTACAATACTAATTAAACAGAGTTCAACACCAGAGAGCCCAGTACACAACTGCGTTTTTAAAACAAAACCAGAAACAATAAACAAATTCCAAAACAACGAAAAACTCTTCAAACCCTACGGCCTCAGAGTCCTTGAGGACCTCAAAAACAAACAAACAATTTTCCAACAAGACATCCAACAATTTCTTTTCCCCGACCTCCCTCCGGGGCTCCTCACCAAGGCAAAAGTAGACTTACAGCTGACCACACACGACAAAGCAAACACAAACACCAAAACATTTAAAGCAGAATACAAAAAGACTTATAAAAAAATATCCAGGTGGGGAGCTCATCTTCACAGATGGCTCCAAAGAAGACATTGATGTGGGCGCCGCAGCCCTATCTTCAAATAGTACACGCCATAGGAGACTCCATCTTGAAGTCTCCATTTTCTCGGCGGAGGCCACTGCTATTGACATGGCACTGGACTCCATAGAAAAAATTCTCCTAACAAATTTTTCCTTATCCTTTCTGACTCTCTGTGTTGCTTCACTTCACTCACAAACTACAAACTCCTACACCCAAAAATAGTTGGGCTACAAAAAAAATAATAAACACTTTGACTGAAAAAGGGAAAAGTATCGTGTTCGCATGGATACCTAGCCATGTGGGCATCCGAGGAAACGAGCAGGTAGATCACCTGGCAAAGATATCCTTATCCCTTCAGTTGGGATCAACGACGAAGACTCTCCCACAGACCGACTTTAAAAATAACTAGCTGGGCCCCCTTTCGAGGAAAGGAATGATCGGTGCATTAACATCAACTGAAAGTCATTGGCCTACTATATTTAGACTCTACTGGAATGGTGCAATATAAGAGATGCAAAAAAATTAGGTGTACAACTAGATCTATACTCTCAAAACAAAATGCGCCAAGCAAAATATCACTTCCGCTCCGGATTTTCTAAAATTACAGAGATAGAAGCATCGGCCTACAAAGGCGATCGGTGAGGGAAGACTTCCGTAACGAGCGACCACTATTAAATCTAGATTATACTCAATGGCTTCCAAAATCATAATAGAAAGCGGGGAATAGTAGACGAGAGTCAAGACGCAGCCATTGTTGACCCTGCAGACTTTATCTACTTCCGTTGTTTGGTAGCGCTGGTTTGCCAGGTTTTTTTTCGATTTTTTACCTAATTCTCATATCAAAGTAACGAGCGACCATTATGAAATAGGTAGAATAGAGTTAAGGGTAGGGGTAGGGATAGTGTTAGGACAAGGGCTAGGGCTAGGGTTAGCCTAATTACAATATATAATCCCATGGGGGGTTGTAGGGGGGCTTGCCCCCCAATTTTCTCACATTTGGGTTGATTTGCGGTGTCAAATCACACCACAAAACATCAGAAACGATATAGAAACACATGGGGGTTATTGGGGGGCTTGCCCCCCTATTTTCTCACATTTGGGTTGATTTGCGGTGTCAAATCGACACCAAAAAAACATTAGAAAATCAAAAATGTATGCCTGTCTGTGAGTGGTAGGGGTAGGGCAGGGATAGCATTAGAATTAGATATAAATCACCTACCTTTTCATGCGTCCAGTCCTGGGTAGACCTTTGAAATCTCCTTCAGGAAACGTACAAACTTGCATTTGGCATCGGCGTTCTGCCGGTGCCAAATATATTCCGCCAGGTGGGCAGCGAAGTGCTGCTTCTGGGTGTGGGATGAGCGCAAACTCTTCTTCACTGCCCACCAGGTTGATTCGATGGTGTTGGTGTGGGCGCCGGTATGCGGGTCGACGAAATTTTCGGTGTGGTTGACGGTCAGGTGTCGGAAACCCTCTCGCTCCAGGCACTCGTAGCTCTTGAAACAATCGCTGTAGATTATGGTACCTGGAGCGACGTGCTTCTTAATCAGACTGACGAGGGTATCCTGGGTGCGGTCTTGTACTGGGACAAGGAAGCACTCCTTGGTCTCGCGACAAATGCCGCCGAACACCCACTGGCCGTCGACCACCCTCCCGCGATTATATTTGCGTTTTCCAAACTTGGCTTCGTCGACCTCGACACTGTAGTTGGCCCCACCAATCTGCCGCACTTCGTCACCGCAGTAGAGACTTTCAACGATGACCTCTCTGCAATAATTGTACAGATCGGCCACCGTTTCCGAACTGGTTTCGCAGTCGTCAAAGTCTGGTCCTGACGTTTCGCGGATGGCGGTGTCGTAACTACTGCGGTTGACGAAGCAGTAGGCTAGAAAAAGGCTTTTTTTGAACGAAACTTTGGCTCCTTCAAACCAAGTTTTCTTGGTTATCGATATATATTTTCGGCAGGCGCGCTTGGTGCACCGAAATCGCGCCTGTGTCGCGTTGCCCCTCTTCGAATAATGGACTGTGTCCAAAATGTCACCACAGCTGGGACATAAGCAGGACCTCGGGAACAATCCCCACTTCTGTCCAAACTGGACACACTCCTCGAAGGTAGAGGTGTAGCGACACAGTTGCGAAAAATTAATAAAATCAGAAAAATCCTTACACGCTTTCTTCGCACTAGACGGACCACTCGCTTCCTCACTCATACTCACATTTCACAAGAAAAAAAGTAAAAACTACTCAAACACCAAGAACACACGCGCGCATAGACACTCAATAACTCAAATAACAGCTCTCCTCTTGTACTAGAACAGGAATACAAAAACCACTTGAAGAACTAGAAATAGAAATAGCGAGAGATGGTGGCTCTGGAGAGAAGTAGAACACACAACATGCACAAAAAATCAAAACGCTTATATAGATAATTTTTACTATCCTACGTCACGTTGTCAACGAGATAGGACAAGAAAGCACTGAGGTCACGGTTGTCACGGAATTCGTTTTTTATGTCGTTTTTTCTTTTCCGTTCAAAACATGTGCTAATGAAATCGTTATAGTGTTTAATTTTTCGCTTCATCTCTTACCGCGACACGGGAGTACGAAAAGAACGAAATACAAGTAGACCGGTAGGGAGAAAGCCGCGCCTGTCCACGATGGCAACTCAAAAAACCGGAAGTCGTTTTTTTAATATGCAAATGAGGTAGAGTCGAATCAGAAATTTACTTTTTTTTCTTCTTTCTTTTTTTTTTGAAGCCGATCGCATCAGCTTTCCTAATTTTGCGAAGGAACCTCGTCAAAACCATTTGATGTCAAAAGTAATTGCGTTTTGGGAATTTTGAAAGGTGATACACTCACACTTAACTCAAGTAGGTTTATAAGAACTTTTTTTCACACATTGGTAACACCAGCTGTTTGGCATAGTGGTTATGCTGCTGGACTACTAATCATGTTTGCTTCCCTCACTCACAGGTTCGATTCCCAGCCACGTCACTGATTTTTCTAATCATGTTATATTGTTGTGTATGCTTTGAGATGTTAACATGTCACTAATAATTCCCATTCCAGATGAAGAGACAAAGGAAGGCAAGAGGAATACAAAGTAACTCAAACTCAATTTGCTTTCTTTACTTTCTTTATTGCCCAACCAAATACTAAACCCTATCTTTTACATATCCCACTCAAAAGTCCCTTCTTTATTGCGTAGGCTAGGGTGGTCGCTCGTTACGGAAGTCCTTCCATCGGTGAAATAAAGAAATTTAGCTTTTTGCAGCAAAGCTGTCTCAAAACTGAAAAAAAAACGAAGGGTGTCATAATCTGGAGAATATTTTGAAGAATCTTTTGGTGAAAACTGCATGTCGATCGATGCAGCCATTAAAAAGTCTTTTGAATAGCAAAATTCGATCACCACAAATAGATAATAGAAGTCAAAAAGTGCACCTCCAGTCTGTGGGAGAGCCATTGGAAAAAACAAACAAATAACAAACTTCAAAATATTAAACCCAAGCTGGGACCGCAAAATCCTTGGGGCCTCTCCAGAAGAGACGAAGTCATTTTTACTCGATTAAGCATCGGACACAGAGCCCTAGCACACAAATACCTCCTTCAGGCAGAAGAGAAGCCGTTCTGTGTCGGATGCGACACAGATTTTACCTTTAGACATATTATTATTTTAACCGAATGTCTAGACTTCAGAGAGACCCGAAGGAAATACTTTAAATGCAAAAAATTACAAGACATTTTTTCCGTCGTTGTTCCCAACAGAATTTTAGATTTTTTGAAGGCCATTTGCCTTTATGGGATATCATAGAATGAAATTAAAATATTAAATATTTTTATGTTATTTAGGAAAGTTGTAGATTGAAAATATATTTATACTAAATTTTATAAACATTTAACATTTTAAGATCAAACTACTAACCCGAGCCCAGCCGTACAATGAACTGTTGCGAATAGAACTAACTTGTGCTTCGCGCGCTCATATGACCTTTTGCAGTAGCGAGCGCCGTAAAACCCCATACTAAAACACTAACTAAACCTGAGAGTCAAACGATCGATATATCAGGAGGTGGGGGTAGTAAACTCTTGCCGGGGGCTCTCGAGGCCTAGAGGTTAAGGTGTCCGCCTCTCATTCAATAAGTTCCGGGTTCCAATTTTTACAAATATCTTGGAATAACAATTGATAACAAGCCTGATTGGCATCACCAAGCTGCTCTTTTGCATAAAAAATAAATCAAAGATTGTCCTCTTTCAGGGAATTAAGAAGTTTTTGTGCCAATAATAAAACTAATTATGTCCCTACTATACCAGTCTATGATTGAAAGCGTGTTACTATTTGGTATTTGCTGGTTGGCTTGAAATTGCACAGTGAAAGATAAAGAAAACTTTGACAGAACCATTAAGAAAGCAAAGACGCGTAGTGTGTTGCCACTAGGAAGACAAAAAATGACACATTATGTGCACAATATTGAGAGAGTAACAACCGACACATCGAGAAACTAAATAGTTAGGATGACAAAAAAGGCTGATTTAACCTTCTCATGAGAGAGCTTAGCTTAGATGGAGTTTAGTCAGTACAAAGGCGTGTATAAAGATGCACAACTAGCTTGTAAAACTAAATAAAATATGTTTTGATTGTTACAATTTGGCTTTAACGATAATAAATATTATATGTGAGGCCGTGTGGTGGAATGAGGCTCTCGTCAAAATAATCAAAGTGAAGAAACTTGCATTTTTCCACAGGTTTGTGAATTTTTTCCAAATATTTTTGTTTTTTGGCTCAACACTTATCATGCCCATTAAAGAACTCATTTGTGTATGGATTTTTCTGAAAAAACGTTGATTAAATGCACAAAAAATGAAAATTTTCAGCTACCACATACTCTCAAACTAAGGAAATAACTAATCTTTGGCGGCCATTTTCTCACTAATCTTACCGCTGAAAACAGATGATTTCCACCCCCTTCATTCGCAAATATCTCGACTTGTATTCAATATAAATGGATATTTTTTTCACCCTAATAAAGACAAAGTAGCAAGCTTTAAGATAATACCAATAACTCTACATGCCCAAAAATTGACGAGAGCCTGATTCCACCACGCTGCCACACATATCATAACTAAAACTGAGAGTGTGACAAACCGACTTATGAATGTTCTAGTTAATGTTAGGATGATAAAATAAATAAAGTTGATTCCAGCTTGTCAGGAAAAACTTGCCTTGGCTAGAGCTTAGCCCATTCATGTAGGACCTCTCCAAAAATTTGGACATAAAATACATTTGTACACTGAATTAAAGGATTCAGACTGCTTTTGTATCAGTTAATAAAATAAATGTCTCACTTTTGTTGCCTCCAAAAGTTTGAGCCAATAATGGAACGCTATACTCGAGAGAATGCGTGTTTTGGAGCTTTGCGAAGAGTAATGATACGCTTTCAATAAGTTGAAATTACAACATAAACGAAAAGCAGGGTGGTGAAAATGCAGTCTATTGTATTTAGAAACAAAATCAAAGCACACAATGTATTTGTTGTGAAAATAAAACATTTGGAGTAAAATCTGGGTTATAAAACACATATTCCTGGAACGCAGACGTTCTTTGCTCAATGTTCAGCGATACTGTGCGTGATGTGTCTTGCTTCTTACTGTAGTTTTATTCAAAGATTCCTTTTGGTTTTCTCTTCTGCTGATGCTGTTTTTAGCAATTTTTATTTATTTGTTTATATTTTGAAGGGGTTTCTGTCTGTTGCTATGGTTTTCTCTCTGTCTTTGTAGCCCGTTGTTCTGTGGAGTTTGCTTTACCCAGCTTGGTGTTTGCATGTGATCATGGTGCTGGGGGCCGGAGAGGGAGGGAGGGGGCGGAGTGGGTGGGAGAGGGGGGGGCATCATCGACTTAAAATTACTACAAATAATGATGAATAATATCATTTTGTTCTTTCACTTAAAACTAATTCAATCAAAACTTTTTAAATCCATTACTTGAAAAAGAAACAATGACTAAACGGACATGCTATAAAGGCCTAGTACTGGAGTATAAGCCAGGGAGGACTCCCAAACACCTAACAGATGGTTCAAATTCTATTTTTAAGCCCATGTATGATCAAGCTGAAGAAAATCGAGCGTAAAACTATCTACATGACTCCATAACGTAAAAACATAAAGAAAGACCATACCTTATTCCATTTAATAGCTACAATGAGACACAAAGGCCACGCTTCTTCCCAGAACAAAACACGCACCCTCTCGTGTATAGCGTTCCATTATTGGATCATACTTTCAAACGTCAAAAGAGTATGGAATTTCTAAATAAACAACCATAAGCAAGAAATTGGTCTTCTTAAATAGAAGATATTCTATTGTTAAAATCATAAAAATGCAAAAGTGAATGTGTACGAAAAGTTTAGTAGCTTTTGCGATGCTGTTTTCATGCTAGATAGGGTGTTTCACTTGGGGGAGCCATCTTGGAAAAAAGGTGTAATTCTTGAAAACTGATAGCTCAAATCAGTGAATCCTAGTTTGGCTTCAGGAAAGGCTGGAGCTGTACTGATGCTATTTTTCCATTAAGATAGTTATGTGAGACTGCCATTGCACATAACTAAGACCTCAATATCGACTTCTTGGATCAGGAAAAGGCGTTTGACAGGGTAGATAGACTTCAACTTTGGAAAGTCTTAGAGGAATATGGTGTAAGAGAACAATTGCAGGAGAACGTCATGGAACTTTATAAAAACAGCCTTTGAGTCATAAGATCCACAGAAGGACTATCAGACTGGTTACCCATGAGATCCGGGGTGAGACAAGGGTGTGTTCTTCCTCTGCTTCTCTTCATGACTTACATGGATAAGATCGCATAAGCAGCAAATGACATCACTGAATTGGACGAGCTTCTTCAGACCAACATTAATGTGTCAAACATGGTCCATTAATGAAGCACAAGAAAGAATAATCAATTAAATACTAATTTAATGTCTCCGGAAAACCATCAGTCACCAAAAACACTGAAATGATCTGACAATACGTTTGCAAACTGGAAAACCACCAGTAATAAAATTCATAGAGCGTCAAAGAGTCAAGTGGTTCGGACATCTAACCAGAATGCCCCAGAAACAACTAGCGGCTAGAGCGTACAACACCTGAGAATCCGCCTTCAAATTAAGAGGAAGACCAAGAAAGACCTTGCTGGGTGGGGTTAAAAAGATCCTGGAATAAC